CCCCCTCCGCCCCCGCCCAGCGGCAGCCCGACCTCACCTTTGCCCCTTTCTCCCACGCTCCCCTCCTCCCCGCCTCGCCAGCCCCCGCCGGTCCCTTTATTATCCTCCTTCCCTTGACCCCCGGTTGTTCCGAGTCTGCAGCCCGGAGGCCTCGCCTTCCCAAATCCCGACCCGGCCACCGCCCGCCCTCAGTGCCCCTCTTAAGAGCTCGGTCGCCCCAGATATCCAGGTCTGGCTGCGGAGGCCAAACCGGGGTCTGCCTTGGGGGACCAGGAGCCCACCCCACCCGGCGTCCGGTCCCTTCTTTCCTTGTACCTGGCGAGCAGCCCCCGCCCCTCCCCGGGCTCCAGGAAGCCTTGGGGGTGGGGGTGGGGGCTGTAGACAAAGGGCGCCAGGGTCCGAGAACCCAGGGGTCCCGCAACGCGCTCCCCAGCCCTCTCCTCACTCAGGCACAGCTGCGCTGCCTGAAAGTGAGATTGGATACCCTTAGACACGCCCTCCTCCCCAGGAACGCTCAGCTTCCTCTTCCCCCCCAATCCTGCTCGCGCTGGCGGCCCGACGGGGGTCCGCGCGAGAGCCCCAAACCCTGGCAACCCCGCCTCCAGCCCCGAGACGCCCGGCTGAAACTTGGGAGTGACTCCGGACTGCAAAGCCCCGTGGGGGAGGGGGAGGGGAGCGGCGCCCGCCGGGAGCCGGGGGAGGGGTCTCTCGGAAGGGCCTCTCAACTCCCCGCCCCCTCGGGGAGCTGTTGCATCAGCTCCGAGATCCCCAGTTAACGAAAGTAGTCTCCACCAGGCCGGGAAGGTGACGGGCAGTAGAGCTGCCGCCAGGAGGCAGCACTTAACCAAAAATATCCTGTCTTAGGGTGCCAGAGAGGTTGGAGTCCCCAAAGCATCTTTCATCTGAAGAGTCTGTCAGCGTGGACCCAACAAAAGAGGGAGTTGCTGGGCTCTGGAAACACTTTTTTCACCATGTTTTAAGGCTTAAAGATGACTTGTGGGGCGCCTGGGTGGCTCAGTAGGTTAAGAGTCTGCCTTCGGGCGCCTGGGTGACTCAGTTGGTTAAGCGACTGCTTTCGGCTCAGGTCATGATCCTGGAGTCCCTGGATCGAGTCCCGCATCGGGCTCCCT